TTATGTTTTTCCATTTAGTTGAATTGTATATTTTATTTATCCTTTGCTTTATGATTGGTTCGAAAATTGACCTTGGATAGTTGTTTATTAATAATGTATTTTTAATTTTGTCAAGATTTTTTGTTCTATACTCCCAATGTGACAATTTAATGGCTCTATCTGTAAGTGCCGTTATTACACTTCTTTTATATTTCATTAGAGCGTACGATTGATAATTCAGATACCTACCAGACCTCCTTTGTGTACCATTTTGTTTTTATTTCCCCGTTGTTATCATAATTAATTGTTAGGTCTAGAAAGTTTATAGAGTTGCCTTTATCCTCTTCCAGAGTAAACTTTAGGGTGTCATGAAAGGCATTAAACTTATCTAGTGTATATTGAATTTTGTCTTTTGGGAGGTACATTATGCAGTCATCCACATATCGTTTAACAAATTTACACTTATAGTTTAATTTAGATATTATTTGTTCTTCCAAATTTTCCATTACCAAAATTTGCAATTGTTGCTGCTATGGGAGAACCCATTGCTACTCCATATATCTGTGAATGGAACTTGTTTTCGTACTGGAAATATGTGGATTTTAAACACAATTCTACCGCCTCAATAAATTCTTTTTCGAGTAATTTTGTACGTTCTTTTATCTCTGCCCATTTATTTTTATATCTATTGGTATATTTGTATACAGGGTTATTCACGCTATACGGCACGGACGTTTGCTGCTAGCCCGTTTGTTTTGACACCCTGTATAACATGGTAAGTATATTATCATTGGGATATAAAATATTATATCTTGTTATACGTCACTATAAATTACGCTTACATAACTTAAATACTTCTAGAGTATTTGACACGTGAAAATTAGATCAGATTTTGATTAAATTCGTATTATTTAAAAAACCTTAAGATTTAGGTATTATACACCTTATTAAAGCAGACACGTATTTTGTTCAGCGAATCCAAAAATGCAATAACATACAGGACATTCCATTTAAAAAACGCAACTTTGATACCTTTAAAGCCTTTGGGACACCCTGTACATTACAAAAATATTTTTTAAATGTGCGCTCGGTAGGCGTCGGACAATTAATAAAATAATACTTGTTAAAATCAAACGGTTTAGCCGCAAACTTCCGTGCCGTATAGCGTGAATAACCCTGTATAATGATACAACATCCAGTGATATTATCCGATGATTCTTTGGTATTTTTTGTTGTTTCATAAAATCACAAAAACTCCATGAGTCTTTAATGTAATATTGACTAATCACCTGTTAGGTCTAATTAATTTTAGAATGCTTTAAAGTGTTGCAATTGTGATGTATTTTAGTGTGTGATATGATGAGGCTGTTGACGAACTGTGGTTGTTTTTAAATTAATGAAATTTTTTTAACTATCTGTTATTTTAGAAAAACTGATGATGGTGGAAAAATAGAGACAATAAATGACTGAAACCCAGGAATAAATTTGATTTGGAATTGAAACAGGCAGGAAAGTATATGCTAATACCTAATGTGAATGACGAATCGCAGCCACTTGGGGGTGAAATCCGCCTCACAGCTGCCCAGGCCGGAGGGCATGTACAGGGTGCGCTGCCTAATAAAAGTCTGAGAATTAGGCGGCATATCGGCGAGATCATAAGGCAGGACGAACATTTTCACTACGGTCCCCAACGGATTGAACAAGGTGACCTGAACAGTGCCCACTTTCGGCACATTGTAGCCCTTCTTGCCCAAGCTGATATGGCCCTGAAACCATCCTTATAACAACAAACAGTCTATCTAGACGCTTTACTCACCAGATACGGTGTGGACAACCTGTCCTGATCGCCCAGAGCGTAAAAGAAGGCAGTAACCGGAACGAAAATATGCTTTGGTACGAACGAACCACTGGCGCCCAGTTCAGCAGTGAACCCATGAACTGTGGAGACCGGCTCCAGCCTGCCATTTAGCACCGACTCCTCAAAAGTCCCTGTAAACGCGCTCAATCAAAGCCAGACCGCTTGGACATGCCCTCGCAAACAAACCTAACAAACTGGTCGGTCGGCCCTTTTGGCGATAGACTGGAGTGAGAACCTTTTTGAGACCCGTGTAGATTTCCGGACTGCAAGGGGAGGCGATGCCTCCTTCGCTCTCGCTCTCCTCGTCCGTGGACAAACTGCTTGAAAACAGCGCACTGAAAAAAATAATTTAATTTGATTTGATTTGATTCCACTCTCAACTTACCTGTTGATGGCCGAGACGGAAGTCAACGAAGAATCAAAATCGAAGCGAGTTTGGCCCTTACGAGCGGGCGCCGGGCTGCTGCACAACGGTAACCCGGTGCGCACATGGAACGCTGCAGGCGTGCTGTTTCCCAAATTCCTGCGGCATTTTGCCTGGTCATGGGCGGCGGGTATATTGGGCTCATTTGTACTCTGTGACTGATCAACCAAAGACTCGTTGCGCTCAAAAGTGATTTTCTTCCGAGCGCCCGACGCCTGTTTTATCAAAACAGGACTATCACAATGGCTGTTGTCTACGTGCATATTTAAATTATTCTTTTGCCTACAGCTAAATGTATCACTTTCGCTCATATCACAATTATATTTATCACACTCACTCAGCGGCCAGGTCTGCGTTTCAGCGCAGCGCACCTTATTGGTGTGGTTGCGTTTGCCGCTGCGCTCTATTGCGTCTAGCAGGAGCTGGCCTTTATCTTGGACAGTTTTGAGATCATTTAAATTATGGCGACGCTCGTGCGGGCGCGTGTGTCTTTCCAAATCCTGTTTCGCCTCTTCGATTTGCTTGCCCAAGTCCAAATAATTCTTTGCATTGTCTGCGGCCTTCGATCGCTTGCCGCCGTACGTTCGGTGCTTGTCCGGATCCTCAATTTCCTCGCAGCAATGCTTTCCTTTCACAGTGCACGAAGTGTGCATTCGATCGTCAACCAGCTCCTTCTTCAGCTCCATAGCGTTGTGCCAGCAGTCCAGGTGCGGCTTGGCGGACAATCGGGGGGCGCTGGAAAATGTGATGCTCAGTGCGGTGCCATTGCCCAGATCGGTACTGGGAAATTCGTGCCTCGAGGCCGTTAGGGAGAACGTGAGTGGGGCCAGCAGCCCCTCGGGGCTCGACAGGCGGTACCGGAAATTGTCGGCGGTTAATGGGGCCGACTTATTTTGCGTCACCAACCATGCGGTTATTTGCGAAAAGTACAACTGGGATCGGATGGCGCTCAGCAGCTGGTTGATGTTGAATGTGATCGCCGATGATCCTCTGCAATAAAACAAAGCCAGATTGACCCAAGTTTTGCGAAGGTACCTCACAAGTGAAGATTCAGCCTGGTTAATCGAACATTTTCGAACAATCGAACAAAAAAGCCTTCTGTGCATTTTGTCGGTTTGTAGATAATCGCCAGTATTCGCGAGTTCAAAAGTCCAAACGCCCCCTGCCGGCTAAAATTATAACTACACGTCAACTAGTAATTTGAACAAGCGTCTAGGTATACGACACTTCTTGTCAATTCTATCGATTGCGGCGTTTGTTATGATTTAAGACGATTTAAGATTAGGTGATTTTTTCCCGGTATTTTGTTGTAACCGTGAACTCTTTGGATTTTATTAATATAGTGTTGGACTTATAGTTTGATTTAGAACAACTTAACGATGTGTTTTTTAACGTTACTCTAAATATTATCTACACCAAATGGGGCGTTTTAATAATAAAAATGTATTATTGAGCAAATAGATAGTTGGCTTAAGTTATTTTCCTATGTGCAATGTGCAAATTTAAT